CAGTATAAAAGCTATTGTAAAACCTATCACTTGTGTCTCCACCTTTCTTTTTTACCTTTGGCCTCCTTTTTTTTTTTGACACAATGAAAGGATCCGATGCATTCAAACGCTTAAGAGCAACGCAGACCCCAACGATCAGGCAAACAAAACCAAATCAAAACAAAGGGACTAAATAAGAAATAAAGTAACATAGCATTAAAATTTTAATATTAATACCCCACCAAACAATAGTCCCGTCAAAAATGCTATTCGTTTTCTCCCGCGACCATAGAATCAATGTCGTCATGGCGTTCCGCAACATTATCTTTCTTGTTTGGAAGGAAGTTATTGTCAACGAGTTCCTTAATTCGTAGAAGAAACGCCTCGGCTGCAGATGAGGAGGCAGATATACGTGAAGACAACGACTCCATCATCTTATCAAGCTTCGTAATATTATCATCCGCCCTATAAGATTCTGTCATATTAACGCGCCTTAATTATGATTAAATTATTGTTCATTAGTCCAAATAGATGCATCGCTTTACAATAGAATCCATCATAACCATTGTCGAGGCTCTATGTAATTTATTGTTAACATCAATTGATCTACTTACTGATCATAATTCTGATACTCTTCTACTAATCCGGACAGCTGCGAGAACATTTCTTCCGGTAAGGTTTCACTTGGTGTCACCGAATGTTGGCATGAGTAAGGTGTCCCTAATGGTATTTATATATGTATATATGAGGAAAATTTTGCTTTAAAAAATATACGGACACCTTTCCATTCATGAACAAAGACGTCGTCACCTACTGAATTGTCCCGATAAGTCATAGTTCGACCCGCTCATCCAGAATTGAAATCTGGATATGTTGGATTCATGTTCTACATCATACGGTGTAACGATAACACCGATAAATGGTTCCAAACCATCTTCACGTCGCCACATTTCCTTGTGAAAGAATTGAAAAAAAAAAATTTTTTTTTTACAAAATTAGAAAAAATTTATGCACGGCTTCACCAATCCTGTATGCCCCTTCATAAAATTAAATAAATAAAATTTAATATAATAAAGAGGAGTAGAAAGAATAAAATAGAGCGGAACAGAATGAAACAGAATAAAATGAAATGGAATAGAATAGAACAGAACGTATCATAATAAAATGGAATGGAATGGAACAAACCGAGATGAATTGGATAGGTAAAAAAAAAAAAAAAAAAAAAAATAGGATACCTGGTATTGAGTCTGATTTTCGATATCTCGAATAGAAGGCTGGGGGTCGAATGTGGGATGAGAGTGGTACCACCCAACGAATTCGAGACCCTTTTCAGCGAATACCTCCCTGGCGGCTACTTCGGAAGCCGGATCCATCTCACACTAAATTGGGATTTCAAAAGAATGAACTTTTAATTCGGCTAGCTAGCTTTTTCATGTGCATAAACGGAACAAAATTCAGGGAATTTAACGGTGAAGCACCTGAAAACCCGTGCTCGCACTTTTGCATGGATACACGTAAGTTACTTCCATGCTTTCACGGTCGGGATAAAAGTGACCGCCGAGTAAACCGATAATTTCCGTGTATGCCAGATGAGCGTGAAAGTCCATGACAAGCTAGGTGTTTGGGTAACCATATAGTTAAAACGGGGATAACTTCTCTCTTGCTATGACGGTCAACGAAGACTATATGCATATATATACCATAACATTTTCTGAGACCGATACACGAAAAGGTGCGGGATTTCTCGATGTATAATTAAGTGGAGGTACCAAACGGAATGGGTCATATGAACCCACCATATCATAGGCTAAAACGTCGTATTGATTCGGATTAAAGAAATAATGTACGCGAATTTTCAATGACGTGTCTCGGGAAATAAGTTAAAAGGATATTTCATTATAATTGATGGCTCCTTTTTTGTTGACACGCGTTCTTTTACTGCGGCGTATTGGACCATCGCCTAAAAGATGGAGTTAAGCACGAAGGTGCAATTAACGAATAGTGGAATCTCCTTCGTGAACAAAAAGACGCAGTGCCACAAACGAGATTGTACCTGATACATCATCATTACCGGGAAATTCTTGGTCATTGAGGTTCTCCCTTGAACAATGGTCAAAATTTTCGTCAAAGACGATTTCATCACGTTCAGATAAATAAAGAGACCGCTTCAAATCTTAGTTGCATACCATTCGACATCATCGTTGTGAACCTTTCTTCCACGTCTTTCATCAGATAGAGAACAACTTTAGCTGGAATCAAGAAACACCATCGACAAAATAACTCGATTAAGATGCTAACCCGTTGAGCGTCCAATTCTCATCTTCCACTTTCTTGGTCTTCTTTTTTCCGTTAGAACTTGCATTCTGTCCTGTACTATCGGAGGTTTTCCTTTTGACAACACGCTGTCTCTTCTTTAATAAATCATCCCCAACGTTGATGGCTCCTATTGATTCCAAGTATGCGTGAACTCGTCCTATTGCATTTACATCTCCACAATCCTAGACCGAAAAAATGAGAGAGACACATGAACAAAGCTCATGCATGTATTTGATTGATGATTTCAGCCAATAGAAACCGAGCGCGAATCACACATATACCTTGAGTCCTGATCTGACGCTTGTCTTGGATAAATATTTGGGCTGGTTAGCACTCCATGCGTTCAGAATAAAGTTTCTAATTTTCATGTATCGATCGGGCGTTTTCGAGCCCCTGCCACAAAAAAATTCTGCATTGTTTTTTTTTTCTGACGCGGTAATGGTAGATTGATCGATTATCTATGATCCGTTAAAATAGGATGATAAATATCGTGCCATTTCACATGTTAGTATTTGAACTGGGGCGCATATAAAGAAGACTAGAAAGAACAGAGATAAGTTTAAATTTTGCACAAACAGTTGCTGCGATTGGGGTTTTATCGGCTGAATGCGAATCGTTATCAGCCCCGGATTCTTCCATTTGGTCGATAGAATCGAAGGACTCTGCCGAGGGCAAAAAAGTCGCGTCTCGCTCTTCGATGGTGCCGGAATGACACGCGTCGCGAAAAGCCTCTATCTTCGCTTCAATGGACTCGGAGTTTTGCGAATTCATCATTTTTTAAGTGGGAATTCGCCAGACGAAGCAAGGATGATAATAATCTAGACCGAAAAGTGATGCAACCTTTCCGACTTTATAAAGAGATGGCGCTTGAAAGAACTAGAGGGAAACTAGTGCGAGTGTGAGAAAAAACCGAGCACCCGAATATGATCAAAAATAAGCCCAACATATTGCATATATTTTTAGCATGCACTGAACAACTTCACATATTTATCCGTATCATCTATTTTTATCATTAATGTGATTAATGAGATTATGATTATCTGGCTTATCAGTACTTGCGTGCGGAGGACAGCCGGTTTCTTTTTTTTTTCTTGACATTGTTCTACGGGAACTGATTTGGCTCGTTCTCTTGTGCCTGCTGAAAGGATAAAACCTCATTTACTGTACATCACATTGACGAATATGCAGAAGCAAGAGGAAAGGTTGATGAAAGAGGAACATGCCTAGGTGAGCAAAAAAGAAAAAAAAAAATTTTTTTTTTTAATTGACAGCAACGAGACATGATGATCTACTTTTTCTCGAGATTTATGAACCTTAAATCGAATGAAGCATATAAAAATCTCCTCTAAGAAGTACTGATTATTTCAGTTGCATGGATGCATAGAAACTTTATTATATTCAGCGAGGAATTTATAAGTTACAATTTGATTAACAATCGGATCACACTTTTTTCTTTTTCCTTTAACACTATCGAATCCTGTTTACCCTCATAAATACTGCTGCGAGACAGAGAAGATGTGCACAGGTAAATATGGTAAATGTGATTCATGGTTTCCCCTTTCTCTTCGATATGATTTATCTCAAAATCTGTCAATCCACTGAAAACCAAATTAAACAAATGTTGACAAAAAAGAGGCTCTCATATGATCGATATATTATTTAGGGACATTGACGATTTGGATCAACCGTGTATTCATTAAATTTTTTTATTTTTTTTTTCGATCTTGCTTTCTAGGTTATCGGCTCAAGAAATTTCCAACATTACTCGACGAGAGTGAAAGTTCGTTAATTCGCCAGGCTTTTTAATTTTTTTTTTTTTTCATTAACATTTATTTCAAAGAACGTGTGCTTCATTAATTAAAATAAAATTTTGAGGTCAAAACCGCGTATCTCTGACTCTGACACATGACAAATCTTGAAACAACTCATACTTTCATTTCTACAATACAATTCTCCGAGCGTGGCACCGTTTGCATTATGCTCCTCCACGTGTTATACGTTACATAAACCCTGCATTGTTTTGAGCCTTATTTGTATAAATGCAAATTTTCAAAAAAAAAAAAAAAATCTAGCTTTGTGCTATGACGACTTCAATAGTGTCCTCTATAGCTACCGGCCTACGTCGTTCGTTAAGCCCCAAAGGTAATGCTTGTAAAGAAGTTTGCCATTCGATATTACTTAGAATTTCACTTTTATGAACGTTGGAATCTAATAACGTCGCGTTGTAAAAACACTAGCATTCCAGACTTCTTCGAACGCTTGTAGAATTTATGGCTTAACTTTGAATGCCAGATTTCATTCGACTCCGATTAGTAAACAAGGTAAGTGAACAGGATAACTGAAATATTTATTCCAATTAATAGGCTCACGAATTTTTATCGCATTAAAGAAACTGGCTCGACACCTAAAAAAACCACCAATAATGAATCGCTTCACGAATACGGCAAACATCTCCTTTCGATGCTTCCCAAGTACATACAACAATATTCTGTCTATAAAGACGAATTAACAATATACGTAGCCCCAACTGGAATAATTCCGGTGATGACCTTTCTTCGAGATCATACCGGAGCCCAATTTAAGCAGGTGCAAGATATTTGCGGAGTGGATTATCCCTCGAGATCAAAGCGTTTTGAAGTAGTCTATAATATGTTGAGCCTTCGATATAACGCAAGAATTCGTGTCAAAACTTACGCTGACGAGGTATCACCTGTACCTTCAATAGTCAACTTATTTAGCGGCGCCAATTGGTTTGAGAGGGAAGTGTATGATATGTATGGAGTATTCTTCACTGATCATCCCGACCTAAGAAGAATCCTGACAGATTATGGGTTCGAAGGACATCCACTTAGAAAAGATTTTCCGCTGACTGGATTCGTCGAAGTGAGGTATGATGAAGAGAAAAAACGAGTTGTCGCCGAACCGTTAGAGTTGACTCAGGCATTTAGAAACTTTGAAGGAGCCGCATCTCCATGGGAACAAACGGGTAAGTAGAATTCTTGACTCGTGTCCAGATTGTTGAGCAAATTCTTAAAGATCGACTTTGTAAAAAATAGGTCCCGGACGTGACGAAAGGCCGGATGCATATAAAACCGAAAACCTTCTCCCTAAACCGCAAGAATCTGAAAAGAAATGAACAATTATTATCTGCAAAATTAATTTATAATTGATTTTTGTGAAGCGCAATTACATCAGTTATGCTTATCATCATACATACCAAGAAACACTCGGTCATAAGCTAGTTTATCACTTCGATCATGATATCTCCATTGCATTATGTATATTCTTCTTTCAAATCCTGGAATTCAGTAAAACGCTTTTTGAAAATTTTGGGTTCCATTTAAAATGCTTTAATTTTAATGTTCCTAGTGTCTTACACTTAAAATTACCAAGTGCAATATACACCGATCGAAACATTATCAATCTTTAATAAATTATGCTATTATAATTATTTGAATTTTAATATATTTGTATATTTGTAAAATGTATGTCATATACTGTAATTAATGATGGGTCCCTAAAGTATTTAGCATATAAAATTTTGTAGATCATTTATGTCCCTTTTTGAGGGACAAAATTCATAGCTCTTCACTTTAATAGGAACAAAAATCAGGAGATACTATAAATCAATGATTTAAATAATAGAGAACAATTGTGGATAGTTTTTTTACAGTTATAAATTTAAAATTTTTAATTTTTCCTAATGAGGGACATTTGACTTTTGTCCTTGCCTCCCCCTTTAGGGACCCATCTTTAACTGTAATATTAAGAATATACAGCATAATAATAAACCTATTAATAATAATTGGCTAGTAATCATATTATTTAAAATTAATTTAAAAGTTTT